TGTGTGAATACTGCATGTTCTGAACCCGTACCTCTGTCGTTGCCACTGACATACTGCAGAGGCTTGTTCTTATCAATGCTGTTGAAACTCTGGCTGCGACGGTTGAGGTTGGAGGAGCCGGGGCTCCTGGAGGCCCCGCTGCCTGCAGCAGGAACCCTGGAGGGCCCAGGTAACCTGGAGGAGCAGAGGAGGAGCAGAGGAGGAGGTTTAGAACTGGACCTCCCCTCACAGACGGGTCACAGTGGAGGATACAGGTTTGTATTTGTGTTCAGGTATTCACATACTGTTGTTGTAGAAAAACATGACTGTATTCGTCTGTTAGAGGACTATATATTATATTATATATAAATATATATAGTTAATATATAAACAGATATATTTATTATATAAAATAATAATAATTAAAAAAACATTTTATATTATTGTTACCCAGAGAGGGAGACAGCGCCACACAGTGTTGGGACCACTAAAGGAGGAGCAGGGTTAAATATTTTTATTTAATTTAATTAAAAACTAAAAGCTTTGACATCAGAGCTCGTCCGACTGAACGGATGTCAGTGGTCCGACTGAACGGATGTCAGCGGTCCGACTGAACGGGTGTCAGTGGACCGACTGAACAGGTGTCAGTGTTACGACTGAACGGCTGTCAGTGGTCCGACTGAACAGGTGTCGGTGGTCCGACTGAACGGGTGTCAGTGTTACGACTGAACGGCTGTCAGTGGTCCGACTGAACAGGTGTCGGTGGTCCGACTGAACGGGTGTCAGTGGTCCGACTGAACGACGGGTTTCAGTGGTCTGACTGAACGGGTGTCAGTGGTCCGACTGAACGGGTGTCAGTGGTTAACGGGTGTCAGTGGTTAACGGGTGTCAGTGGTCTCCTCGTGTCAGTACCATGTGTTTACCTGGTGTTCTTCTTCTGTTGTGGTCCAACTCCAACGTGTCCTTGGGGACTGGTGTATCGTGCTGTGAGGCTGAGGAGAGAACAAGGAGGTGTTAACACACACACACACACGTGTTGTACTGTGACTGTGTGACTGTGACTCTGTGTGTGTGTGTGACTGTGACTGTGTGTGTGTGTGTGTGTGTGTGTGAGTGTGAGTCAGTGAGAGTGTGTGTGAGTTCACACATTTCCTTCTTTCTCTCAGTGAAGTCTTTGAACCAAACGCAGTTGAAGCTGAAGCTCAATCACAGAAACATCAACCAATCATAAACCACAGGGTACAACACTGCCCTCTGCAGGTCTGTGGTGTTTTGCAGGTGTTTTCTATTTTTAAAACACCAATAAGGAAGTGAGTAGAGGTAAACAGACACAGCTGCCTTAAATATTTACTGTACACATCTGATCAAGTACACGGTAACTGAACTGGGAGTACACAGCAGTATTTCAGTGTATACACCATATACAGTATGTTATGTATAATCCTAGTACTTTATCTTAGTATCTGTACTCGTCTGAGTGAAGTAACTGTGAATTAAAATACTTGGTAGTGAAGTAACTGTGAATTAAAATACTTTAAATACATAATAATATAACTCTGCTCCAGAACCTGTCGACAGTCAAATATATTTGTACAATTAACATTAAATATTCTTCCCCTGAAGTAGTACTTGTAGTATCATTAAATTGTTATAAATGCAGTAAAGAAAAGTACTTTGAACTACGTAGTTATACCCCTGATTAAACCGTGTACCTTCTACAGAGACGTGGCGTTCCTCTGCGGCCGCGGCCAATCACAGCGTTCACAGTAAAGTGCTGCTCTACAATGAGGGGAACAGTGCAGTAGTACTTCAACTGGGGCAGAGAGGAAGTACTGCACAGCAGCCGTGTGTACTGACCACAGGAACAACCGCTTCTCTGTTCTGTGACTGTGGGTAACTGACGCACCACAGACGCATACACTGACACAACGCCACGGTCTGACGTCACACAGAACCAACTAGTCAACACACACACGTGTGTGTGTGTGTGAACAAATATTTCTGTATTAAAGAAACGTCGTCACATCAGACGTGACTTCAATAAAACAGAATAAATGAATTGAATTAAACTTCCTGTCAAGAATCTGTTGATTTGATCAGTATCACGATATACAGGAGTCAACGATACGATATACTGCGATATACTGAGATATACTGCGATATACTGCAATATACTGCGATATACTGCGATACTATAGGACACATTTGGAATCACTAGAGAAGAAAAGAAAAAGAACCAACAGCAGGA